CAAACATTTACACAGGTTCGTTAGTTAGGTTATTCGCTAGTATTCTCTGTCCCTCTTGCCTTCCATCTGTCCTGTGAGTGTCAAGTTTGCCAAGCCCTCTTTCCTTATTGTGCGCCCTAGAAATATCAACTGTCTCTTTCTGATGTTAAGTATAAACGTCCTTTTTCTATCCATTTTCTCAAAAATTCCCCATTGATCACACGTTCAGTTCATGACATTCATAGCATCCTTCGGTAGATCCACATTTCTGTTGCCTCAAATCTCTTCTTCATCTGCGATGAGATTGTCCACCATTCATTGCCATATAGGAGACCGGAATTTCTGAGACAGATAATGTGGAAAATGATCGCAGGGTATTTAAACATCGCTGTTCATGCTGAGATGTCGTGAGAAACGGGGTGTATTCTATCGAACAAGCTTGTATGAATAGATCGGTTGGTTTGTTTTGTTTTACGGTATATCAACCTCAATGGGTTATTTAATGCCGACAAGATTTTTATTGCTGGTAATATTTTTTTCTTCAAAAATTCATTGTTGATAATAATTTTTTATAAAAATGTATTGCTGGTAATACTGTATTGCTGGTAATAATAAAAAAAAAAATGTATTGCTGGTAATAATGTATTGCTGGTAATAATTTAAAAAAAATGTATTGCTGGTAATAATGTATTGTTGGTAATAATTTTTAAAAAATATGTATTGCTGGTAATAATGTATTGTTGGTAATAATTTTTAAAAAAAATGTATTTCTGGTAATATTTTTTTTCAGAAATGTATTGCTGGTAATAATTTTTTCCTTCGAAAATTCATTGCTAGTAATAATTTTTTACAAAAACATATTGCTGGTATAAAAACCTATTTTTACACTTTCATAGTGTTTTGACCCCGGTTTGGGGGTTAACTATTTGCCCATAGCTAACAGATGCTAACACCTCGGGTAAGGGTTAACCTGGGAAGACCAACAATTGAGGTGGTTCCACGCTCCTCAAAACCTTCTGAGGACGCGGATGTCGTTTATCTTCTTACCCAGGACACGGGTGTAGTTTATCGTCTTATCCAGGATGCGGATGTAATTTATCGTCTTACCCAGGACGCGGACGTAGTTTATCGTCTTAACCAGGACGTGGGTGTAGTTTATCGTCTTACCCAGGACGCGGATGTAGTTTAACCTCATACCCAGGATGTGGATGTAGCTTATCGTCTTACCCAGGACGCGGGTATAGTTTATCGTCTTACCCAGGACGCGGATGTAGTTTATCGTCATACCCAGGATGCGGATGTAGCTTATCGTCTTACCCAGGACGCGGGTATAGTTTATCGTCTTACCCAGGGCGCGGATGTAGTTTATCGTCTTACCCAGGACGCGGATGTAGTTTATCGTCATACCCAGGAAACATGAATATAACAAAAAAAAAAAAAGGTAAAGAAAGTCAAATACTTATGTTAATGAGTCAGAAGGTATTTAGAGGATAACAAACCAGGAATATTTGGAGAGACATAATCGCCACATTGTGCATCAAAGATATCCTAAGAGTTTAGTTAATAAAAAAAGAAAAACACTAAACACATAACTTTTAATCTTTGCCGCGAAATTATTAGTGTGCTTAAATTCCTAAAGTCTAGTAATCATAGAAAAACGTTCATCAGAGCAATTACCATGAAAATATTTGTAGAAAAGGCACAGAGTAGCTACTATATATATATATATATACATATATATATATCCCTACTATATATATATATATATACATATATATATATCCAAATGAGAGAAAAAACTAATGGAGTATAATTCCGCTGTTCGTAGCATTTACTTTTTTAAAAACGTGCTCAATGCAAAGTAGAGCAATATATTATTATTTTGTTATCAGATATAACAAAAACATGTTGAATTCGCTACACAAAAGCTTTCGTGTTTCGGCACTACGTTGGGTCTCTTCACTTACCATCTTGCCTGAAGAGGGACAACGTAATGCCGAAACACGAAAGCTATTTTGTAGTGAATTCAACATGTTTTTGTTGTAATATCTTATAATAAAATAATATATAAATGACGTCACACACTACAAAATCGACAAAGTCCGACAATTATTTTAAGATATTTTCTGTTTATACGTTATTGTATACATACAAATATTTAAGTAAATGCTCTGTTTATAATAATCAGTATTAACAACATTTAACGGCCTGAACGTCCGAGAAATTTTCATAGAAAATATGTGTCCTCTGAGAGGAATCGAACCTGTATCCTACACGGATACCAATTTAGCTACAGAGGAATGTCTTGGAGGGCAAGGTCGATTTTACTGCTTTTAAACTACAATTTTTCTATGATTTTCCTCTATAACAATAAGATGGTTTGTATCTATAAAAATAACGTTTAAACGGAAAATATCTTAAAATAATTGTCGGACATTGTCTATTTCGTAGTGTGTGACGTCATTTGTTTACGTTTGGATACGCCTTGAGCAGAAATGAACTGTAACTTCCCTCTGATTAG